AATAATAAAGCATGAACATATAGGATAAATATACATGTTTATCATCTGCTAGTCAATCAAAATTTAATTCAGCAAATAACCACAGTATTAGAGTCAGACACTTCTAACATTGTGTGTACAGGGGTGCAGCATCCAAAAACACAGTGGATTACAACACCTTGACAGCTTCCACACAGCTTCCACACAGATGTGTTAGTGTCTACTGCCAAGGTTATGAAACGTCCTTAGCTGAGTGTGTTATCTACGACAAAGTGGAGGTTACAAAAGGATCGTTAGTTGCTACTGCAACCTGTTACGAGGAATCAACAGCACCAACAGGTCAGTATGTGGTAATTCTACTGTATTCTTGTCTGAGGTTAGAAAACAATGTACTCCTACAAATTTGTAATTGGTAAATTTAAACTGTAAGAAGGTTTTCAGGGTGCTCTTAAGCTACTTGTACTTATCATAAATGCATTTAGAAATAACTTAAAATTGTTCCGAATCAACACTATTAAGAGAATGTGTATGAATTAATGTCTAAAAGTAAAAGTTTATCAGACCGTTATGCCTTCTGCCTGCCTTCGGTGTTAGGTGCTTCGAACTGGTTCAAATATAAGGAGACCACAGAGCTGACCTAACACATTTTGCAGATATAACACCTCTCTTGGAAACCTTTCAGTGTCCCCCACCAGAATAGCTCGAAAAGGTGCCTGGGAAGAGGGATGTTTGGGTGTCTATGTATAGACTACCGGTATGCCCTTGCAACCTGGACCTAGACAAGTAGCAGACGATGAATGGATTGTTGGAAAATTCAGTGGAACTTCTAGAATAAATTAATTAACTGAAATAAAAATAAAAAACTCACCTTAAACGTCGTTAGTCCTCTGCAAGTGCAACTGCACTCAGCAGGGACTTCTTGTTGGGTATAAATTTGGATCTTAGACATTTATTTGAGCTTTCTCAAAAAATTTGAGTTGCTGAATAAACATTTCTGTATTCACAATCTAAACTGTCAACCCATCTTTCAGCTTCTGAAACCCAACATGAACATTTTTATCATCATCAGGCTCACATGACTCCCTGAATTTGAAAATTTGGAGACAGTGATGCTCAGTCTTCATTAAAAAAAAATTTTCTTCAACAGAATCTAATATTTTCTCATCTAGTCTAAAAGAAGTTTGTCTCTTCTGTCTGTTTTAGACCATCCCTTCACCTGTGTGAATGGAAAGCGTGTGGCTCAATACCAGACGTGTAACGGAATTGATGATTGTGGTGACCAAAGTGATGAGATGTGCTGCAAAAGTAAAACTACACACACACAATCAGAAATTATCTTACCTTAGCTTTGTGCCCCAAGTTTTACAATGTGAATCATTGTTTTTATCAGAGTGCAGAAAAAATGCTTTCCACTGTAAAACGGGAGTGTGTATTCATAAAGAAGCACTCGCTGATGGCAAGATCGACTGCCTGGATGGCGAGGATGAATCAAACAAATTTAAGTCAAAGCAAAGTAAGGCACAACATATCTTTACTTCCACACAGTTTTAGAAAAACAGATGTTTGCTCTTAGAAAGTTGTTTTGTTTTGTTTTTTTGCAATTTAGTTTCTTTCACTTGTAAAACTGGTTTCACTTGGGTTCCTGATCTACCCAAACTTTGGCAATTACATAAAGGCTAGTTACATCTTGGAACAAAATTGGTCCAAGAACAGTATACCAGCAGAAATTCCTACTATAACTTACTGCTACTTACACAGCCAAGTTTAACATGGACCTTTCTTGAATATGTCAGCAGTATTCATCTGACTTAGGTAACTCAAAAGTTTATGTTGTGACACAGTGTAAGTCTGGAATACAAGTTGCGAAAATGCTCCTGTAATCTGAAAGCTCCTTATGATTACTGTAATATACATTTTTGCTAAATTTATATTACGTTAAACTAAATTTAACTGTGTCATCTAATCTTTTACGTTTAAGTAAAAGATTAGATTAGAAAGATTAGATTTAACACCTGTTCACACTGATAGTGTCATGTGGTTTGCTTCATATAACTACAATACAAATAGTTGTCACAGTTAGAAAAACGCTAACTTCTGGTGAATGACTTTCATAGCTGAAAGTCCACAACCATCAGGTTTTTTTTTTTCCATGCACCCGAGTCCTTATAGCAATATGTTTCTGTTTTCTGTAGAATCACTTTCACTGAAAGGTCTGCCCAAAAATTCAGGTAAATGAAATCCTCACAGCAGCTGTTTGAATATTTCACTGTTTTAATTAGTGATGATGACAGTAATTATTTTTTCTTCCTGTATTTCAGAGTACATCTCTCCAATGAATGGTATGTAGATTAAAAGTGACTTATCAGAGGTGGTGGCACATCTTATTTTATATACAATGATTAGATAATCTTGATGCTATAGTAGACAATGACATTTTTGACAACAGTTTTCTTCTAGCTACAGTTTAGGAGACCTTTAATCATTGGCATAAGAGAACCTCAGAAGTTTACATGGATTCCAAAGCTTCATCTAATCCAGTTGGGATACACTGGACAGCCAACTGCAATACAGAATTAGTCACTAGTATTAGTGTGTAACCCTCTCACATACTATATGATTAGAACAGTAGGAAGTCTACCTATTGCAGAGGTTCCCAAAATGTGGGCTGAGCCATTGCAGGGGGGCGCAGTATGAAAAAATAGTCACGAAGATTTTTCTTTTAAAACAAACGGGGGCCTAGCAAAAACAGTTTAGGAACCTCTGACCTATAGTAACCCTCATTTCAATTTGCACATGTTCTTTAAATCAGTCCTGAGGGTACAAGATCACCTTATATACAGGGATATCTAGTCCCCAGGGTATGAATTTCAACAAAACTCTGCGTTATATAGCTTTGTGTGTTGTTAACTTTGTCCAGAAACAAAGGCCAACAGAAAAGCCCTGGAGGCCAATCTGGTCTGTGGCATTCCAAATGCTACCACAGTGTATGATGAGGAAGTGGTGCAACGAGGAAAGAGTACCCATGGAAGAGTCAAGAGGGTAGTCGGGGGAGTACCAGCAAAGCCGGTGAGCTGGAATCAACATAACTTTTTGAGTACAGTTACCGTTCCTGCTGCTACTATGTGGTTTTGTTTTGTTTTGTCATTCTTACAATGTAGCATAATGATCTCCCTCTGATGCTAAATACCCAAAGGGATTTTTAAGGTCCTGTAGATCCTCAGATGCTCCACCTGTTTGAAGCCCTAGACCTCTTGCCTAGTGTATGATAGTGTATGATAGCCCTGTTGGTTAAATCCAAAATGCTATGTCATGGCATGCCTACCTTGCTTAGACATACAAATTTAAATCAAAACATGATATACTCCCAAACCTAACCAAATCACTTTGGTGGCTAAAACTAACCAAACAACAAGTCACATAGACTAAAAGAAAAGAAAAGAAACCCCAGTTTCTCTCTTGACAGTTCTGTTACTCTAGCAGACGTCCACAAATTCAAATCCCAGCTGAGTATCATCACACGGAGTAAATTTGAAACCATTGGGAACATAATGAAGAATTCCATTACCGTTCCTCTCAAGAAGCCATGTCTGTTTCTGTGATGACATTGTTTTCATAGAAAGTCTTGATTATTTTAGCACGAAAATGCCACACCCCATTTGGCACAACTGAATGATAACTGTCATCATAAGTAACAAGCAACACATGAATAACCTGCCACATATCTTCCTGTTGGTGTGTAGACCCAAATCCAGTGGCAGATTGCTCTGGAGGAAAACAAGAGGATTGACTGTGGAGGAGCTTATATCGGAGGCTGCTGGGTCATCACTGCAGCTCACTGTGTCAGGTCGGACAAATCTCTCACACCACTCCCCCTTCCTAACATCAACACATTGAAGGTTTTAAAACACTTTTTTAAGACTAGGCATTGCTTTGAAAGTCCTCACACATTAGGTTTTTTCTCTCCTGGTACCTTCACTTTCAAAAGTAGTGTAAATTTGATACAATTTCCAGAAAGATTAAGCCCATGCTCTGGTCAGTGCAGTTAAAAGTCATGCTGTGCCTTGGAAGTCAGCAATAACCATATTTTTCTCCCTTGCTGTTTACAGACCCAACCCCCGTGCCTTCAGAGTGAAGTTTTCCCTCTGGAAAAAATCTCGAGCTCAAGACACAACTGACATTGTTCCTGTTGAGGACATCATTATCCACCCAAAGTATGAACAACACTATCTATACATAAATGTACTCCATTCATTTACAGGTACATCTTTTTCTTTTTTCATTCTAATAAAGCAGTTTTGAATGATCCACAGTTAGAAATACCAATTTTTCTTATACTGGGTCTTAGTTAGGACACTCAATTCATCCTCTATCAGGCAACTTCCCCTTTATTCGGTGGGTAGGTAGGCTTCTGCACCTGAGATGACCGTATTTGGGATTCCCATTGTGGGTAAATGATATCATAAAGATCCAATGACAGAAGAAAGCTGAATGAAACTGAATGTTGAGAGAAGTCTGAAGTCTGAGCTCATGACTCGCTGAGATTACTTGTATTTACATATGAACATCCATCACTGGAACAGCAGATATATCACAGAAATAAGAAAATGCTAAATATGTTTACTTTATAATCAAATATGTGTAATAAAATAAGAACAATTTTTTTAATGTCTCACAGTTATGTTGCCAACACATATGAAAACGACATCGCTCTGGTAAAACTCCAGAAGCTTCCATTCACAGAGAAATGTTTGGTGGACAATCCAGCAATAAGCGCAGTCTGTGTTCCCTGGTCCACACACCTTTTCCAGCCCAACCACACCTGCAGTATCTCTGGGTGGGGACGAACTGCAGGTATGGATAAAAAATCATATTTTCCTGTTGCAAGAAGAACAGTAATGTTGTTCAATCCAGGTTAAAAATGAAAGGGGATCATCTTCTTGATGCATTCTCAATCATCCAGGTAAGTAAATCTCCGGAAGCTGATTCTGTTCATCTGGACGTAGCGTTTTGTGGGAGAAACGTTTCGTCACTCATCCAAGTGACTTCTTCAGTCTCAGCTGACTGCAGGTTTCCCCAAATCCAACTCCAAGTCCAATCCATTAAAAGCTCACTCGTTCACATCCACTCAGGGTCCACAAAGCAGGATAACAAGCAGGGGTCCGGGGAAGCCTGTAAAAGGAGAGGAGATAGATGTTAGATAGAAGCAGTAGGAAATACAAAGAAATCACTAAGCAAGCCGGAGCTACACTGACACAGGTTAGCCCAACGATCCCTTGAAGAAACAGACACCATTAATGCTGAAAGGTATATCGGCATATATATGCTTTAGAGCAACATGCTCTCTCATTCAGGTTCCATCTTTTTCAGGAAAAATGTACAATTTACCAAAACAGTGCCAAGCAGAACCCTGTAGCTATTACAACAGCTTGGCTTCATTGTAAAACAGTGCAGGTGCTAAATTGGCCTGCTGACAGTCCAGATCTTACACAAGCTGAATATATCTGGAACATCATGAAGTGAAAAACAGGACAAAGAAGACTTTTATCAGACAAGAATGCAACAGTATTGATCTATATCTCCATCTACTTTGTGAAGTTATGTTTTCCCATCAGCTGGTTTGATTAATGAGCAAAGATGAAATATTCCTGTCGTTGTGTCCAGAGGGGAGGTCAGCTTCCGTGTTGCTCTGGGCCAACGTTTCTCTGATCGACAATTGCGGCAGATTCTATGGAAACCGCTTCAAACCAGGCATGATGTGTGCAGGTGAGTGATCTATGCACAGCCGGACTACTGCAACCTGGACATAGTACAGATGGAAATGTGTTTATTTGTAGGTGATGTGGAAGGCAGCGTGGACTCCTGTCAGGGCGACAGTGGAGGTCCTCTGGTTTGTGTGGATGAGTTAGGCGTTTCCTACCTGTGGGGCATCGTCAGCTGGGGTGAGAGGTGTGGACAGCCAGGATTCCCTGGAGTTTATACACAGGTACAGTACACAAAGACAATACTATACTATACAAAGGAGAAATTTATTACAAATACTGTGTACATATGCTGCAAGTGTCAGGGATCAGCTGTGTGACAACCCGGATTTGGACTTGAGTCAGAACACAATAAAGACTGACTCAGTATATAAATTCACGGGATGATGAGGGAACAGGCAACAAGTGGAGACAAGGCTGAAATCAATAACTGACTAATCAGAGGAACACAAGGCACACAGGACTTGAGAAATTTGACAGGAAATGACTAACACTGAGACCTGGACTAAAACATAAGAACGTCACTCAGAGCCAAAACAACAATAACAGAGACAAGACAGGAAGGACAGAATAGAAATACAAAAGTAAACAGGGAACTAACAGCGTAGTAAATACAATGCTCTACCCAGAAGATGAAATAATACAGAATATCGAACCGAAATGGAAGTTCTGGGTCCAAACATTTACCGTATGTGAATTCTTTTATCTGAATTTAGAAGCATAAAATTAGAGGTCTTTCCAAATTTTATGTCTTTAAGACATTTCTGTAGTTTAACTAACTGGTGTGTGTTATCTGGCTTCATGCACAGATAGAGCTGGGTGTCATCTCTATAGCAGTGAAAATGAACCCTGTGCAACTCCATAATTAACCTTTGTGTGAAGAGGTCCCTACATTTACATGAACAAATCGGAGTCTATTAGAAACATCAGGGTTTTGTTTTTGTGGTCAAATAAGCCTGAAGTGTAATTTTTGTAATTGGCTGTAAACATGTTTATTTCTGCTGTAAAATTTGACTTTTTAAAACTGGAGTCAATGGGTTTGACTCATTTTTAGATCCTCACTTAGACGCTTGAAGAACTGTAGCTTTTGACTATTTCAATTGTCCATGACCTTTTGTTTTACTATTTTTTAATGGTTTGTTTCTTTAATTAGATACAAATGCTTTGTATAACGCCAAATAGTTTTGACAGTTTGTTTTATTTTTAGAGCATTATAAATAGTTACTTTTCTTTTCTTTTTTCATGTATAGTTATTGTTGATTTAGTGACTGTTATGTATTGTGGTATATTTTGTATGACTTGTATAGTACTTATTTCACATTTTAGGATTATTAGAAACAGTAACATTGTGTGTCTCTGTCTGACAGGTCGCACATTACTTCGAGTGGATTAGGCTTCACATAGGTTGGTCTGCAGTCACCAAATTCAACTCATAATATGGAAAACCCACAGCATGTGGCCATATTTCAATATAGGTGTGCCATTTTATTTTGGTTAAAACTGCTCAGTGAAAGATGGTAAAAGACGCATTCACTGTTTGATGTTACTGCTTGGACCTACTGTTTGTATTGGTATTAAAATACTACGTTATATCCAGTAAAACACCAATAAAATCTGCTTGTAAACATACTAATGAGACTTAATCTTTACTTGTAAACATCTCTAAACTAAATTTGAGCCTTAACACACACTTGCTGAGGTTTACTCAAGTTTCTGGAATGTCTGATTGCTCTAATAGCATCTTGTTCTTAAATGGGAAAACAATGTGGAAAGATAAAAAAGAGAATAGAGCAAAAAAAATAAAACACAAGGGGCTGCCAACTGCACAGACAGAGAAGAACTGAACAGACACACAAACAAATATGTGTATGTGCATTTATCATGAAGTAACAGGGACTCCACAGATGGAGCAAGCACAGGGCCCAAGGTACCTGAGAATCCCACCTGGCAAAACACCTAGTAGAACACCCCCAGCCTCGACCACAACCCCCAAAGGAGCACGTCAGGAAACATGCCAAAACATCCAGCCGTGTGCCCTTGCACCACCAAGCATCACCAAACCCTGGATATCCCTTTGTAATGCAGTTCAGTTTTTTCTATATCTGATGCATATCTGGATTTTTTCAAATGGGTTTTTACATGTGATAAGTGAAGAGTTAAAAGATTTTTTTTTTAAATTCCCACCAAACTGCCAAAGAGCTGCTTTTGCTAAGGTGTTTAAAGCAGGCGTGATGCTTAATACAGGAGATAATATAAAGCAGATCGCTTTTTCACTGAGTGCTTGCTTTATGTCCAACCATGAGGTGTCTAACAAGCTTACACAACACAGAAACACAGTAATCTGTTTTATAAGAAGAGTGTTAAAACTCGTTCATGATGGGGGGTGGGGGGTGTTTACATAAAATGTTTTTAAATGCTTGAGTTTACTGACTTATATCAAGCCGTAGGGGGTTTATTCGGGATCAGTGAGAACATATAGTTGAATTTCAGCAGAACGCTGCACTAAGGTCTAGCAGGACAAGCACAGAGATGAGTCCACTGTCAGAGGCCATAAGAAGATCATTTGTAACCTTCACTAAAGCTGTTTCTGTGCTGCGCTGAGCTCTGAAACCTGACTGAAACTCTTCAAATAAGCCATTCTTCTGCAGATGATCTGTTAGCTGTTTGACAACTACTCTTTCAAGGATTTTTGATATGAAAGGAAGGTTGGAGATTGAAGGCCTGTGGTACATAGCCGATCATTAGAGATAGGTTGATCATATTTAAGATCGAAGAATTAATTAATGGCAGGACTTCTTTGAGCAGTTTTGTAGGAATGGGGTCTAAAAGACACTGATGGTTTGGAGGAAGTAATTATTGAAGTTAACTCAGAAAGATCAATTGGAGAAAAAGAGTCTAACGTAACATCAATGGTACTAAGAGTAGCTGTAGATAATATTACATCTGTGGGATGATTACTGGTAATTTTTTCTCTAATGATAAAAATTTTATTTGTGAAGAAGTTGATGAAGTCATTACTAGTTAACGTTAAAGGGATGGTTGGCTCAGTAGAGCTCTGACTTTTTGTCAGCCTGGCTACAGTGCTGAAGAGAAACCTGGGGTTGTTCTTATTTTCTTCAATCAGTCAATCGGCTTCCGATTGACGTAACCAGGTGTCATTACTGCCGACGTGAATTATAATTTTACTGAATTTACGTTTACCCTTAACCAGCAGTTTTACGTTTCCCTCAGTGTCGCCTGCTCTGGCCCCTGTTGGTGTCTCTAGCTTCAACATGTCTGAGAACAGAATCGCCAATTACCAGAGTTTGACCCCCAGTGGGTTTGTCGCTGAGTGGGGAAAAATGGTTAGACACATGAACAGGTTGGTGGTGTGCCTGGGGCTTCTGTTTAAGACTATGCTTCCCCCTCACCGTTTTTCCGATCATTATAATATAATTCTGGTTACTCCAAGAACCGTTTTTTAACAATGTTATGATGATCAAACTGATGATGGTATCTAATACAACTGCTGATCTACCCCAATTCAGCTGCTATATACGTGGGGAAAAGAAAGTTTTCAGGGTATATACGTGAGTAAAATGTTATTCATACATCACCTATCAAGACAAAGATCACAAAGTGATTCTCAACAACAACAAAACATTAAGAAGAAGAAAAAAAGAGTTCACTACAACCAAATCTGAAAAGATTAGTTTTTAGTTGCTTCTTAAAAGAGACCACTGAGTCTACAGATCTCAGGCTCAGAAGGGAGAGAGTTCCTGAGTCTGGGGTAACACGATGAGTGAAAAGTTACCCCAGAGTTCGTGACAGCAGATTTAGCAAATGTTGCAAAATGATCTTGAGCTTATAAATCTGCCACTGACACAAGCAAGTACTTCCTTTTTTTTCTTCATTTAATTGGAAAAGTTGTGAGCCATCAAACTTTTAAAGGAGTCTAAGCATCTACTCAGAATCTGCAGCTTTAGGTTTGCAAAATTGTATCTTAACAAACCGCAAGACCTTTGGAACAACCACCAGACAGGCAATACCAAAGTGGAGATATTTGCCTATAATACACAGCACCATGTTTGAAGAAAACCAAACACAGTATATCAGCACAAACACGTCATACTAACTGTCAGGACAATAGTGGAGACATGATGGTTTGAACTTGTTTTGCCCCCACAGGACCCTTGCACATTGCAGGCAACCATCAATTCCTCTGTAGTATTCTTAAGTATTCTAGAATCAAATGCGATGCCCTCTTTCTGACAGCTAAAGCTTAGCTGAAACTGGATGATAGTAATCCCAAGTACAGCAGCAAATCTACAACACAATGGCCACGATGACCTCAACCTAATTACAATGCTACGGTGGGACCTTAATACAATACAAATGTCTGCAAACATAAATTAGCAAAGAAAACTGGGC